ACATATGGTGTCTATCCCAATATACTAGGAAGTAAACGCCCCGGTCTCTCTCTCTCTCTTAACAGTATGGCAGCACAGAAGTAATAGTGCCAGATGCACCTGTGGAATTTAGTGTATCCTAACCCTCATCCTGTCAACTGGCTAATTCAGTTTGTTCCTAATTATGTCACCGTTTTAAATTTTGCCTTCATTGGTCCTATGCGGGTGGTTAGCACTGTTGCCGCACAGCAAGAAGGTCCTGAGTTCAATTCCACCATCAGGCCGGGGTCTTTCTGTGCGGAGTTTGCATGTTCTCCCCGTGTCTGCGTGGGTTCCCTCCGGGTACTCCGGCTTCCTCCCACCGTCCAAAGACTTGCAGTTTGTGGGGATAGGTTAATTGGATAATCCAAATTGCCACTAGGTGTGAATGTGCGAGTGAATGTGAGTATGAATGGTTGTCTGTCCCTGTATGTTAGCCCTGCGACAGACTGGCGACCTGTCCAGGGTGCACCCCGCCTCTCGCCCTATGACAGCTGGGATTGGCTCCAGCACCCCCCGCAACCCTGAAAAGGATAAGCGGTAGTGAATGGATGGATGGATGGATGGTCCTATGCAAAAAATATTTTGGCGTCCCACGGGACGAAAAAAACAAAAATAAAACCAAAAATAAAAGGAAATATATATATGCAATTACTGTTTACCAAAACCTTTTGGGTCAAACATTAAATTATACAGTATCAATGAAAATAAGATAACAGTATCAATGACACTTCATTCATTCATGTTGAAGGGAAAAGCCTCTGTTATCATCTACATGGGGAAATTCCCAGACTGGAACATTAGAGACATCGCTGTTTTTACCTGAAAGAGTGGAGACATTTCCAGATTGTGCCACACATGAAATGGGAACTAGAGTTCCTACACCTCAAGCCCCAATCCAAGCAGCAATAACCCTCCTGGGAGTGAGGAAAACACTATCTGCTGATGTGACTGCCCAATGATCGGCCGGAAAATCTACTCCAAAAAGATGTTACCTTTGGTCCCGAAAACAAAGGTGGGAGGTAGAAACTGTTTGCTTCTCCTGTCACATTACAACATGCCGTGAGCATAGCACGTATAGTGCATATAGTGTGTCTGTAGCTTTTTGTTGCTTTTTGTTGTTTCAGGTAAAGGCAAGTCACATTGTCAGGCACAAGTCAGACTCATTCTTATTGGGTGCCAGTCTCCACCAAGGCTGCCCTTTGTCAAAGATTCTAGTCATAATATTTATGGACAGAATTTTTAGGTGCCGCCTAAAAATTTGACGATGTCAAATTTGAGGATCTCAGAATCTCATCTCTGCTTTTTGCAGCTTGTACTGGGATGGTGTCTGGAATAAGAATTAGCAACTCCAAGTTTGAGGCCATGGTTCTCAGCCAGGTCAGGTCGGGAGCAAGTTGCTGCCCCAGGTGAAGGAGTATGTTGGGGTGCTGTTCATGAGTGAGGGAAGAATGGAGGTTAAAGACATATTGGAGCAGCGTCTGCTGTAATATGGACACTGTACGCTGTCTGTTGTGGTGAATACACAGCTGGACGTGAAAGTGAAGGTGTCCATTTACAGGTCTAGCTTTGTACCTACTCTCTCCTATGACCACAAGCTGTGGGCAGTGACCAGAATAATAAGACTGAAGATACAAGCGGCAGAAATAAACTTCCTCCAAAATGTATTGAGCATGGTCGTTCAGGAGTTCTGGGCATGTCCTGGAGGAGGCCCCAGGGATGACCCAGCACATGCTGGAGAGATTATATCTCTGCACTGGTTGATTTTGTGATCATTTTAGCTATCTTAGAATGGGGTGAAATTCAATTCAATGAATTGAAAATCACAACAACAGTTGCTTCAAGGCAGTTTATATTGCAAGGTAAAGAACCTGCGATATTACAGACGATTGCTGATTTCATCATAAAAATATGTTTAACTTGAAATTACTGAAAAATTAAGCGATGCCAAAAATCAAACACCAGTAAATAAGCTTTTAAGTAATAGCGTGGAGCATAGTTTATATGTAGGTATAGATTTTCTTTTGACAAAATATGCAAATTAACAATAACTTGCAATAAAAAATAAATAAAAATCTTTACATGACAACCAAATAAGTAACAACTTGAAGTATCTGTGGAGGATTTTTACTTTGATTGTGTTAGTGCCTGTCAGCACTGATCAAAATGCAACTACTTATCATAGTTCAGACTGGATCTACCTTAGCAGCACACTGCATTTCATTTTGCTAGATTGACTTCCCTTTATGAAAGCCCTTCAGTAACACTCACTTATGATTTCCTAAACTACGTAAACTGCTCGATAAACAGGGGGGTTAACGGGATATTCACACGCTTCAGGCAACAGTTGATACAAATCGCGAATTTACAGAGCCAAGTTCAGAGAGAGCATACTTATTTATGGATACTCCGATTCCTCGCTGCTGTTGCAGGAAGCTCTCTCTCTACTCGATTCTTTTCTCTCTCCACATATGCAGCTGCCCCTAAACAATGAGATAGAAATCTCTCCAATCTGATTAAATGCTTTTGGATCAAGCTCATGGGCTGAATAAGCAAAGGAGCCTATAGAAAACAAGCTTTGTCTTCCCAATTGTGATCGACTCATGGAGTGAGTGAGACTTTATGTGTCGCGCCTGGCACCTGTCAGTGGATCTGCAGAAGCAACAGCTCAGATAAATTAAACATGTTATGCTTCATTTGAGCAACTGTGCTGCTATCCGCTCCTGATTTCTCTCCTTTTTCTAAAATAAGAACCTCCAAGAACAAAAAGGAAAGAAAACGAAAAAAAAAGGAAACCGAAATGAAAAAGGACAAGAAAATGTACTTCTTTCACAACGTCCATACCAAGTACTATCCTCTTAGCTGAGTCAAATATAAATCTTCACAGACAATCAATAAATGAACAACTCCTGATACAGCGCTTTGACAGTTGCAAATGTTATTATGTTTCTGAGCAGCACACCTCCTCCACGGGGAACCGTATACTTTTTTTGGCTCTTCTGCCTCAGATCAAATTTGTTCTTCTGAGAAGGCAGGGGGAAGAGGATTATATATTTATTTGTTTGTCTATCTTTTCTGACCCTGACCAAACAAAGCCAGACAGAAGAGTGATTATGTTGTTTGCTTTCCCATTCACACACATGAATGAATGTAAAGGCAAATGCTTCGAAGAGATGGGATCTTATTATGTGCCATTTGTATGGTTTCTGTGTGACAGAAGAGAAGAAATGAAACACATTTAGATGGATAATTGCTTTGGTCAATAACGGCAGGTTTCCTGTTTTACATTCCATTATGGTGAGGATGGGCTCTGCCTGTTTCATCACAGAGAGATAAATAAAAGGATGGTGGAGCCAGAAGAGACCCATATCCCAGGTAAATGAGAGCTTTATGAGGAAGATTAGTGCAAATCCCTCACACAGTGCATAGGCACATGTGGGGCGAGAGAGGCTTTCGGATACAGGCTTGGCTACCTCCATCTCACAAATTCCCCCAGCAATCGATCAAAGCCCCAAATCACAGCTACACACACACACACACACACACACACAGGAAGGAGTAGGTGAGACACTATGACGGCCTGAATTGTTTTTTTATTGCGCTGATGAATAGGTGACCTGATCTGACACAGAGACAGTCATTTGTACTCTCGGGATACAAATATTCACATAATGTGCATGCATTTATGAACATATGATTCCTCTCTGTAAGATACACAGGCAACAAAAAACAAACAAAAACAAAAACAGTGCCCAGAGTGCATACAGTGTACTCTGTAAGTGGAGCATCTGTGAAATTGTATTTTGACTGTATAAATAAGCTCTGGATGCCATCTGTACTGAGAGCTGCTCATTAAACTCTGTTAACCTGCAGTACTAATATCTGCAGGGAGAGATGAGTGAGACAAAGACACACCTGCTCCATTTAGGGAAAAGCATTTCTCATTCCCTCAGTGAACATATAGCACCTCCCAAGTAACAGTTACCACATGCAGGCACATATTTACATGTAAAGACATACTCATCATCAGCAAAATCCAGACGGCAAACACTCACAAAAAAACAGAGACTGCTATAACGTAGAAACAGTTAACGGAGAGGCCAGAGAGAAGATGAAGGGAGAAAAGAAGGGGAGGAGCTGAACAGTTTCACCTGACCCACTCAAACGCTGCATGTCTGATCTATGGTTCAGTGATTTGTGTACTGCTGAAGCACAGCTATACAAAATACAACCTGTGCAGGGAGCAGACAACTCATTAATGGAGCCCCACATCACGTCTGTATGCCAAACACCATCTGTATTCATTCAGATGCACACACACAGGCATATTTCTGATTCACCCTGGGAGAACAGTAGCAAAGTACACATCGAAAACGCAGGGAACCGATCTTTAATTTAAAGCACAATAAAAATTATGACATCTTAGACATAACATCTCTTATAACCAACTATCAGTATCAAGTGCCATCAACTGTGGCTGTAGCTCATGTGGTAGAGCAGGCCACCTACTAACTGGAAAGTTGGCAGTTCGATCCCAGTCTGCTCCAGTCTACGTGCCAAATGTCCTTGGGAAAGCTACTAACCCTGCGTATGAATGCGTGTGTGAATTTTAGATAGGAAGTGCTTGGGTCAATGTACAAGTTGTGTAAAGCACTGCTCAGCAGCAGTGCTCAGATTAAGTAGAAAGGCACTATATAAGAACCATTTACCATAAACTACAAGTCCACACTAGATGAAAAATTATATTATAATAAAAGCACTTTGGCATAGAAAATAGTGCTTGAGTGTATGACTGGCTGAATGAGGCTTATTTAGCTTGCGCTATATAAGTACCAATCTATGTATTCATGACAAAAAACACTCTGTACCAAATCCCAACAGTGCAATACACAACCTTTAAGTGCAGTAGCAATTACCATACATTGGAATACATTGTGACGTGGGAATACAGACAGAAACATAGGCGTGAAACTGGCACGTACCATTTGGGCTCTCCTCGTCAACAGTGACTATGGTTGCAGGGGGACCAGGCCGGGACAGCTTACACTCTGCGTATGCAAGAAAAAAAAATTAAAAACTATGTCTGCATATGATATTCATTTAATTCTGGTTACATCACCAGAATGACACAATGATAAAGAACAATAGTGAACACCTAAAGCAGAGATAGCAGTCTTACCAAACTGGGAATATAATCATTTCATATATACACTGCTCAAAAGAACAAACAAACAAAAAAAAACATTCAAGGAACACTTAATCAGTTTAATTTACTTCATCATCACCAGTGTGTGAATGTGTGTATGAATGGGTGGATGACTGGATGTGTAAAGCGCTTTGGGGTCCTTAGCGACTAGTAAAGCGCTATACAAATACAGGCCATTTACCATCATCAACTCAATCAGTTAACTTAATCAGTTAAGTAGCAGAGGGGGTTGTTAATCAGTTTCAGCAGCTTTAGTGTTAATGGCATTAACAACAGGTGCACTAGAGGGGCAACAATGAGACAAACCCCAAAATGGGAATGGTTTTAAAGGGGGAGGCATTTTCCCCTCCTCATCTTTTAACTGTATTTTAACTAATTTTCAATTTGGCTAGGGTCAGTGTCACTACTGTTAGCATGAGGCAATACCTGGACCCTATAGAGGTTGCACAGGTAGTCCAACTCCAACAAGAGATTCTAAGAGACAGGAGAGGTGGACAGGCCCTAGAAGGTCCTTAACCCTTCTGCATGACCAGTATCTGCTCCTTTGCAGAGGATGAGCACTACAAAATTAGCACCCCAGCAGGCCACTGGTATGAATCTCTCTGAGGGCCTCACATCCTCTAGTGAGCGCTGTGCTCAAACCCTGCAGTTCTATATAGAATAGGGGGACATGTTTAAGTTAATCCAATTAAATTTTGACAGAACACCATTTTTTTCACTTTGATTTTCGAGGTCTCTTTGAATTTAGCCCTGTGAGGTTGATCAGTTTCATGACAGCACACATTACCCAGTGCATATCAGTACAGATATCCAGCATGATTTGTTTTGCCTACTGTAATTTGATGTGTTTTCAAAGTGTTCCTTTAACTTTTTTTGAGCAGTGTATTATATTTTCAAATAATGTCTAAAGATTTAGATTTCATGAAGAAAAATAAATGCTGAAATTACAGTGGTATCATCACTCCTAGTGACAGCACTACATTTACATGTACAGTAGTCACAGTAGTAATCATAAATAAAGTGCTCATATATGGTATGTCACAGAATTATGCTAAAATTGCAAATTAATTGATAAAAAAAAACAAAACCCTGACACTGTTCATATTTCGCAGCTGTAAGGAAATGAATGTCAACATTTTCTCTCAGTGTCACACAGATGCTGTCATGCTGATGTATCATTTTACAACAGGTGGCATCAATGACTGCTGCCACAGAACCATCAGCAGCAATGGACTGTGCGATAGTGACACCAGACAAGCAGGGTGGTGAAAGCATGTGGCAACATCATAAGCAGAGCACTGACGAGAATGGCTTCACAGATGGAGGTCACAGCAGCTAGATGGTACGAGCACATGGGACACAGGTAATGGCAGCTTGACAGACAACAGCAGATGGGGCAGCAGGAGAGGTGGAGACAGGAGAAAGGAAAACGTCTAGCCCAGATGAATAGGTGCTGCAAGGCAACGCTCTCCACAGCCAATGTAAGGAAAGTTCAGGATTAAATGTCATTCATAGAAGAGGTAGAGAGAAATGGCAAAAAGGGAGAATATGGGAATGTTAAAATACAAAAGGAAAACAGACAACAGATGATTGCCCTCTTACCCTCATAGTGCCAGTCTGAAGGAGTCAGAGGTTAGTGTAACCAGAGGGAAGCAGAGCAGAAGCATGAGAGGAAAACAAGCATGAAACTGTTAACAACTCTGATTTTAGGAAGAAATAGAAAAAAATATCATCACAAAATAGGAAGAGATATTAGAAAACAGGGCTGAAGAGAGGCAGTTTAATGGAATATAAACTCAAGAGACCTCTCAAAATTGTGGGTGTTAGCAAACCCCACACAGTTTTTGGAGAAATGGCCAGTCGATCTATTCTTTCTGCCAGCAGCTGACTGTTTTGAGAAATGTTGTATGTAGGAAAAATGAAATCAAGTTAAAGTATAAATTCTGTGCTTGTGAAAGAGAAAAAGAAGGTCAGCAGAAGCCTTTTACTAGTTACTCAAAACATCTTTCTATCCTTCTTTTAAATGGCCTCCATCTTGTTATTCATTGAATCTGAAGCAGCTTGCTTTCAGGTGGTGTCGTCTGACATTACATGTAATCAGAGATGGAAATAATGACACCACATCAACAGTCAGCACTCTAATGTTTCACACCCACCTTCTGCTTGACTTCAGTTGTGCAACTATGCACCTGTTGCCAGGATAGTTTTCTTATTAAATATGCATACCCATGAGCCTTTACTAATGTCGTGGTTTGAAAGTGCACATTAATCAGTGATAAAAACCTGAATGTGATGTTGTTGCATTTTTAAACTGTAGATACACACAATAATTAGCAATTAAATAGCAATGAAAACTTGAGGCTAGAAGAGGGGATATTTTATGCAAATAACCGCATTTTCAGTTTCTTGTGCTCTCTAATCTAAATTTTATTAACGTTTTATCTGGGGCTAGAATTTGCATCCATGTAAAACATCTTTGCTTTGGTCCTTTACTGTCAAAGTGAAGATCTATTGTCAGTAAGAGACACTATGTTAAAAGGCATAGACTACATTTTCTAATCTAAAATTCCTCACAGTTATTAAACCATCCCGATGTTGCACAGCTAATTCACGAGATGTACTGACGAGTAAATTTTAAAGTTCCATGAGTTTATAGCAATTAGGAAACCTGCACCTTTCGGCTGAAAAAATAGGATTTCCTTTAATAGCGACAAAATGAACAGAGCAACTGGGTCACACCACGCAATCTGAGACATAAACAACAAGCAACATCAAAATCAGTATGCAAATCTGCTCTGAGAGAATATACTCTGTGTGAAGTAGAAGTAGAAGAGTGTGACCGCGTGCATGCGTGTGTATGCATGTGTGTGCAAGCGTGCATAATAAAAGTTACTTGCACTCATTTTGAGAAGCTCTTTAAGGGATCATAGGCAGTCTGTTTTGTTAGTTTTGCATATGTGTGTTCGAGCAGTGTTTAGCCGGGTGCACGGCCGTGTGAGCGCGCGCATGTGTGTGTAGCTTTAAGTGGTAGTTGCGGCAGTGGGAGAGAAAAGATGTGAAGAGTCTGGTTTGAAGACAAAAGGCAGAACCAAGCAGAGATAAAGAATAGCACCTCCATTTGCAGTGATAACTTTCCTATGTTGCGATCAAAGCACAACCGTAATGCTGCACTCAAATGGATACGAATACAAACACACACAAACCCAAAGCAGCAAAGTGTGCTCACTGTCGTGTTCACTACAAAATGGAAATGATCCCAACTTCTTGCCACATTTACACCTTTTAGCAGCGGGTGATATTTTCTAATGACGCTTTACGTCAGGCTTTCCTCCCATCGAAAAATCCTCCCAGCAGAATGAAAGAATATAAAAGACATTTTCTGGCCAATTCACTTTACTGTGGCTCTTTGGATTTGTAAAAGAATATGCTAAAAGGCATCACCAAAAATCCCCAGTCTGTGCTTTCCTGCAGCATTCAAAATAATAATGCAGGGTAAAATGGGCAGACCATAACAAACACAAATATAGAAAATAAGTAAACACCATCAGAAAACTACTTATGCATTCATCTAACAATCTGACCTGCCCCCATCCTAAAAGTAGAATAGAAAAGATTTTTTTTTTTGTGTGTGTGTGTGTGTGTGTGTGTGTGTGTGTGTGTGTGTGTGTGTGTGCGCAGAAGGAAGTCTGTTTTACACTGCAAGGAAAGGGCAAGTTTTTATGCAATGCTATGGGGGAAAAAAAACAATAGGATTGTATACAGGAGCGAAATGACGCTACACATATGTGACGTGTACAGCTAAAACAGATAAGGATCAAAGTGTAAATATTCTGCGAGCCGTGAATGTTGTGTCTATCTTATGAAGACCATTCAAGCAATAAAAATAGGAAACAATTCAAAAGCAAAACAGAGCAGAAAAGTTGGAGCAAACGATACAGTTGATTGCAAAGCTGAAAAAGAGCAATAGGCAGCAGCATGAGATCTGATATCTGAAGTCAGTTAACGCTCTTAGGCAGTCTTTGTGTATTTTTAACCAGATTTAATAATAGAAAGCCTATGCACACACATTGAAAAGAGCTGTAGGCAACGGCCAATACAAATCGAAAGTGAATGAGGAAGTCAGTGATGTAGTGTCATACGTCAGTAGATGAAAGGACTGGGTTTTTTTTAGCTCCACTTCTGTTTATCAGCTTCACTTCTCTATGTACAGGTAAAGTAAAGAAAGTGGGATATTTGAGTCACACCATCAGGAATAGTTGTGAGAAAATTTCAAGAGAATGTCCAGTAACGATGTCATGCTGTATAAACAACCACACATGCTGGCATGGAAATTTCATGTGTAAAGATTGTGTGAAAACAGCATACTCCACTTCATTCACTTGATTTGTGGTGTAGATGTTGTAAAGAAAGACTGAAAAGTGCTTTAAGCAGCACTGAATAATGCAATCAGAATCAGCTTAAGCTCCCGAGATGGACAAAGTGCAGACATATTTGTTCCCACCTCTCATGCGGTGTTGAAAAATTTTATGTACAAAAGGCATAATGGCCTACGCTGAAGCTACGCCAAGAGACACAAAGTATTAATTTTGTTTCTAAAGTTAATTCACAGATTTACTGATATGATGATTTACATCTATTTTGAATATAATAAGTATTGACTGGCAATTCAGCAGACCAACAGTCAAAAACAGGATTAGGTAGGTTTGGCTGGTTGACATACCGATGTAGCACTGCGAATTTTTATTTCGATGAAAGAACTGTACATTTTAATTTGTGTTATTGCTCTCATCATCATTTTTTATTAACAGGTAACAGTAAGAGGTTATATCAGTAAATCTGACAAGAAAAAAAATCATGACTCAAAAATCTGCTTTCCAAATGAAATGATTATTGGGTGACTATGGAGTTTTAAGATTCATAAAGATGAGACAAATGCAGCAAACAGCATTCAATCACTGAAGGAAACTGGGGCACTGTACACTTCAGAAGTGTAATCCACAGACAATCAAAATCTTCTAATTTTGACCTTGGGGTAATTTGCTCTCACCTAAAGAGATCTTCTCACTAATCAACCTAACAATGTTGACTCAAAGCCGTAAAACGTCAATTACGAAATGATTACTGCTCGTCTTAAAGAAAGTCAGTTGGAAAAAAATGATTGCAAGCAAGCCTCAATCAACTTGCAAAATGCTTGAAATTGAACAAAAAAGTCCTTTCCCAGCTAGAAGATAACATTTAACAAAGGAGCAGAGAGTTGAGAATTCTTCAGACAATGTAAATGAAAACATTAAGTGCTTTGAGCCTGACATTTTTGTATTTTAAAACCAGGACCACCAGCACTTTAAATCACCTAGATTTTAATGCCATCCTGCAACAGCAGCAGTGAGAGCAAAGAAGTCATTTTTTAAATAACTATTTTTTGGAAACCTTGAAAAAAAACAAAGGTCAAAAATAAGGTTTAAAAAATTTAAGTTTAAAAATGGTTTAAAATGGTTTGAATAAAAAACAAAAAAGGCAAAACAAAAACAACACCGGAAAAAAAAAAAGGTAAGGAAAAAGTAAAAAGGGAAGGAAATTTTGGAAAAGGCAACAAATTGGCAAAGGAAAAACAACCCGGGTTAAAACCAAAACCAAAAGTAAATTAAAAACAACAACAAAAATGGGGGGAAAACCGGGGAGAACCGCATAGTCATGGGGAAAACATGCAGACTCTAACCAGAAAGGCCTCTGACTGGATTTGAACTCAGGACCTTCTTGCTGTGAGGCGACAGCGCTCACCACTGCACCACCCTGCTAATTTTTTTTGTTAAGTAGAAGAGTTCAAGTTTTTTCTTCTCATCCACATCTACCTCCTCTACACTGGACTTGCAGCCTCTCTCTCATCGAGTGTCCACACTGGCCCGCCCCAGTTTGCAGCCACATTTCACTCTTTATTTGCTTGGATTAGTACACTACACTGGGCTCTCCGCTCAGTTCAGCTATGGTTCCCCCGCTAGCAACCTGCCTGGTTCTCCACTCGACCTGTCACACACTCTGCCCTGCTCTTCACTGTCACAACATCCCATCAGCGACCCCTTCAGCCCTGCATTAATTATTTAAATCTAACTACAATCCCCGATATATTCACTTATCAGCTCTGGCTTATGCAGTCTTTAAACCAAGATGTGTGTAAACAATATCTGTTACTAGGCAACCAGGTATGCTGCAAATGCTGAGCATAGTATTTTATACAGATTTCAATAAGGGTCATAAAAGACTCCAAAAAGACAGTTACAGATATAAGTGGTAACCCCCCCACTACCCAAAATTCACTATATGATAAATAAAGCCATGCTATGAAAAGTCATGAAATATGAGATTATAGGTTTTATCTAAACAAACACCATCTGCTTAACTTTTCAGGATTTTTTAAATAGTCATAATGGTTAAATAAATCAAAGTTAAAATTCGTGATGGCACACTGGATTATTTAGGGCTTGTTAAGGGAATGTCTGCACTCCTCGTACTACAAGTAGATAATACTAGACATAGTATATACGTAGTATGTTTTTCTCCTGTACACATTTCTTTCAATGTTATTTTAATAATCAGACGGCCTTCCGACAATCTTTTAAGCA